ACAGGTAGACACACAGGTAGAAACACAGGTAGACACACAGGTAGACACACAGGTAGAAACAGGTAGACACAGGTAGAAACAGGTAGAAACACAGGTAGACACACAGGTAGACGGTGAGCCAAAAATAAACAGATTTTACTGATTTAATGTCAACAAACGGATCAGAATGATGAAACAACATCACGATGTCTGAATTCAAACTCCTGTCGGTCTGAGAGACGACGAGCAAACAACTTAAAGTGCTTGTTTTCTGAATGGAGTCTTTATTTATAACACAATGAAGATACGGTGACAAACTCAACGCTGTTCAGTTCACGTGAGGTTTCCTGTTTAAAATATGACTCTTAATGAATAAATAACTCAAATCCAGCAGAATGTAATACTGGAGATAAACAAATATACACAATATAAGTCTTGTGTATCGTGGTGTTGTTATACGGCTGCTCTCTGCTCATTATATAAACCGTCCCTTCACCGTCTGATGTGTCTCTGCCAGCAATGCAAGGTGTGCAGTGAATCGGGGAAGTCGTGCGGCCCCTTGGGGCCCCCGGACGGCCCCGGGGTGGAAGGGTCCGACTTCGTGCTGTACGTCAGCGGCATCACGACGGAGCGCTGCGGGCAGGAGAACATAGTGGCCTACGCCGCCTACTGCCAGCTGGAGGCGGAGCTGGACAGGTGAGGAAGGCCGACACGGTATTCAGAGAGCGTTTCATCGTTTTACACCGAGAACAGGTTACCATAATGTGGTGTGTATTCGTAGATAGCAACTGTACAAAACATCGTATTCTTTAAGCGTTAGTTTCCTCACAGTGCTCCTTCAGTTCCCAACCTTTCTCCTTAAGAAACTGTTTTCTATAATGTAATAAACTCACAACCACGGACTCAGTGACACATGTTATACATATTTCACATTATATTAAAACTGAACAATGAATCCAAACAGTGAACTCAGGAACTGCAGGAAGTTTCTGTAAAACCAGAGATGTGGATGAATTTTGAGCAGATAATTTCCTGTTTAGGGAACTTTTTATACAATTCTCTGTCTGTATTCTGTATTTTTATAATTTTTAACAATCAGACAGACTTTATAAACTTCTTTTTTGATAAACTTTAGTGTTTTCTCTCTCTAAGACTGGGTTCGCAACCCAAAGCTGATTTTATTGGGGTCAGAATTTCTTCCTCCTGCTAAAACGCATTTATTTTGTTTCATTCATAAAGTTTTTAAAATGTGTTCACTGTTTTACTGATGAGAGGGAATAAAAACAGTGAAGTGTTACAGTAACGTTACATTCATAAAACATAGTTGTGATTTATCAAATGTGTTTCTGCTTTACCTGTTTAACAAAATCTGACGTGATGCAGAAAACGCAGTAAAAATGCTCAAAACGTTCATTTCTACAGTCTTCTCTTCTCACTGTGAATCCTGTCTGTCTGTCTGTCTGTCTGTCTGTCTGTCTGCCTGCCTGTCTGTCTCTCTGCCTGTCTGTCGCTCTGTCTGTCTGCCTGTCTGCCTGTCTGTCAGCAGCAGGTTGAACACACTGAGCACAGAGAGCGACAGGGAGGGAGTGAGACAGGGAGGGCGTGAGACAGCCAGAGAGAGAGACAGACACCCACACAGACAGGGAGGGCGTGAGACAGTCTGAACTGTATTTATTAAACGTTAGATTGTATGGAAGACTGTTTCTGCCAGAATTAAAAATAACATCAAAACTAACTGATGATGAAAAATCAGTTCATGTTCAGTAAAAATTATTAGATTAAAAAAATCATAATTATGAGATAAAGTCAATTATGGGGATAAAGTCGATAATTATTTGAGATAAAGCTCATAATTTAACAAGGGATTTTATGAAGCGCTTTTGATATACTTTTTGGGCCCAGAAATGAGCTTCCATAGATCCGGGAGCTTTTATATTAAAGGAAAGTGGGAACTGATCAATAATCTATCACTGCAGTTTTATGTGAATTTAAATAATATATTAACAGACTGAAGATAAAACTGTACGATCAATAATAATTTATATTAATGTTTGTTGTTTATTTAAACACATTTATGAGCTGTTTGTATTTGAATGTTCTTGAATAAAGTACACTGGGGATCCTTACCAATTTCCCACAATGCACCCTGGGCCAGGGTAAACAGACTTTAAACACTAAAATCTATAAGTTTAGCAGTTTTCACGTTTAATTCTGCAGTAATGAAAAAATATTAATAAAATTACAAAGAATAATCTGAAATTTACTCTAAGTAAAATAACATGACATATCTGTAACTAAATTAATCAGAAATGCTTATTTAAAGAAAATGCTTTTTTCAGCTAAAGATTAACATAATGTGCAAATCTAAAATTTATTCACAGATAGTTTACTGTTTAATTTAATAGATTAAACTGTTATACTGTTGATACATTTCTAATAATATATAAATTTAGTGACATTAACAGTAAATAACAAGTATTGTTGTTTCATTTTAATGTGTTAGTTACGTTACACTGGACTAGATATCTTGTAATACATGATGGAAGTTGAATAAAGTGTTGTTTATCAGTGGTATAAGCATCTGGTAAAACGTCAAAAAATAGTTTTTTTTAGTTAAAAATCCAATAATAATACACAGCCACTCTGCTGTAAATGTAGGCTGATTATGTTGTATTTAAAGCCCAGAGGTTCCACCTGGATTTATAGGGCTCATTGCATTGGTTCAGTTTAAATAACTTTAAATAACATTAAAAAGACAAACTGTCACCACAAGAAAAACTGTATTTTATTATAGAAAATTAAACTGTTTTTTACCCGAGTTATTTTCTTATTTTACTGTTTTTTTTTTACAGTGCGAGATGTCTGTCCGTCTGATGACATCCACGGTGACATCATTGTGTGTGTTCGCCCGTGATCTGCGCCTCCTGGTTTCCATCGGCCACCGATGCTCTCCTCTCATCTCACACCCAGCACACAGCACCACACAGCACACAACACTCTCACCCTTTGATGGTAATTTGATTTTGACACAACCGACGCTTTGTGAGTGTGAGAGATGCAAACAGGACGGGAGAGGAGAGAGAGGAAGAAGGAGGTAACAAGATGAGAAGCAAAGGAATTCCAACAAGAGATCAGAAAAGGAGATGAAGAGGAGGGAGGAAGTAGGAAGAAAGAGAGGAGGATGAACGAAGGAGACAAAGAAAACAAATTAATTCATTAAGAAAGTTTTTATTAACTTTTAATATCATTTAAAAGAACTTTTACGTACTTTAGCTTAAAAGCTCAAAGGAACAGAGCGAGAGAGGAGGGAAGAGGAGAGGAAGGCCAGGCATCAGATTGTAAACTGTTTCATTATTTTAATTGAATCATTTATGCTCTAGAACATTTAGTTGTTTTCAGGCCGTTGGTTTGTTTTAGTCCTGTTTGTCCTGCTTTTTAATAACGAATAAAAGGAAAGGAAGGAGATATGAGTGAGGAGGGAGGAGGGACAGACTTGAAGTTAAGGAGAAAGGAAGGAAGGAGGGAAGAAGGAGGAGGAGGGAAAGAAGGGAAAGGAAGGAGGGAAAGAAGGAAGGAGGAGGAAGCAAAGAAGGAAGAGGAAAGAAAGGAGACCAGTGATATGAAGAGCTGCAGTTCCTGTAGCGTCCAACCTCAGCAATTACACTGTATACAGTGAGTAGTTAATAATTATTTATTGTTTATCGAAAGATTAAAAGCTCATCAGAAGGCAATAAACAGAAAACTGATGTTTTACTTTTAAGAAAAAACATCAGTTTCACCTGTTAAAGTTTCTAAGAGAGAAATATTTTGTCAGATTTTACAGTTATCATAAAAGACCTTTTAAGTAAATACTAATCTAATCTTGTAAGATTAAAAAACTATGATCAAAGAAGGCTTCACTTATTTTAAAGTGACCAGTGACTAATTTGTAATTTTTATTTTTCTGTCATAACAAAAAAAACTTAATCAAGAATCTTTAACTTAAACTTTAAAAAATTGTTGAATTTGTTACTTACTCCAATGTTCAATGAATCTATTTTTAACCCCAACTTGTGGAGTAAAACAACTTAATATGTTGGAAAAAATCCTGCTTATTTCTATTTAAATAAGGTACAATTAGATAAACTGAAAATCTTAATATATAAAAGCCTGTTATTCATTGAATAATTTGAGCATCAAATACCGGCTTCATTACATCATACATTAGTATAATATATATATATATAGTCGTCTGTGTCAAATCTCTTCCCAGGTGAGGTTTCCCTTCTCATAAAGTAAACCAAGGTGAGTTTCAGGTGAACCAAACAGGTAACACAGTCAGCACCAGTAAGAGTCCGTCGTGGTCAGCATATCAGGATTCTTTATTGAATGACGGGCAAAATAAACTGAAGAGATTTTAATCCCCCTTTATGAAAATAAATAAATCATTTTCTTTGCTCTGCAACCGTAAGCCCCCCCAAAAAAAAACACCTGCAGCTGATTTCATC